AACAACAACTTGCATTTCACATAGCCGCCTTCGTGCGGAGCAGCTGACCCCGAGCCAGGGGGAGAGGGAGGGGACCGTAAGCGAGATCAAAAATGAAGGTTTTTAAGGCAGGATTTGCAGTTCCAGAGTTTCCGGCCGTAGTATCTTAATGCACGGGCACCGATGGCGGAGCGGAGGAGACGAGGAACAAACAGGAGGCTGGAGACGGACGGTCGGAGAGGTAGGGGAGGTGCGGAGACATGAAGGGATAAACTCTTGGATTGGTAGCTCCCCGATTGGCAGCTCCTGGATTGACAGGAGACAATTAATTAATCACACCTCATTTCTTTCCTGAGAAGTAATCAGTGTATTAGTCAAATAGAAACCTGCACATTCCCATCGGGTGTGGGAGTGATACAATCAGACATTGGGAGAGATAGCAGTGTCAGGGAGGGTCATTTGTTTCACCGTAAGGTGCAGCTTGTTGGGTGTTGCCGACACATACATGAATGTAATAATAATAGTTGCATTTGATGCGGTGCTTTACCACATTATTGAGATGACTCAAAGCGCTTCACAGGATATACTGTAAAATGCAGTGACTGTGTATTTTGTGGGCGAAAAGCGGCAGTCAAATTGCGCACAGCAGCGTCCCCACAAACAGTTGTGTATTGAGCGACCAATTTAATTTGGTGGGGGAGGGGGGGGGGAGAAATGGTCGTCCTGGACACCGGGAGAGATAAACTACCCTTCTCTTTCCCAATAGCGCCGCAGGATCTTTAACATCCACCTGAACAGGCAGATGGGACCTCGGTTTAACGTCTCAACCGAAGGACGGCACCTCCGACATAGTCCTGTTCAGCAAAAACAGTGCCTGGAGAAACAACTTGGAACCTGAAAGTAGTTCAGACATTAAAAGGATGTTAAACACTGCTCCTGTGATGGTGTGGAAAGTGGGAGCAGGAGGCAGGGTAACGGATATTTCACGCCTGCTTACATATAAATCATCCTTAAGCCGCTCACTCAAGTTTTAAGCATTTCCTTATTGACTCCCCAAAACAGCTCAGGACCAAACCGTAAAGCAAAAATGCGATCTCTGTCAATAGTGAAGGCTGGCTCCCGTTCACAATGGTAATGTAATAATAATAACAGTAATAATCCTTTCGTTTGATACAGCGCCTTATCACGTCGTCGAGACGTCTCAAAGCGCTGCACAAAATATACTGTAAAGTGGATTGACTGTGGATTTCGTAGTCATGTGCGTAATTTCGTAATCCCCACTCCATTGCCATCCCCATGACTGAAACAACATCCGTTTGAACCGTACAATGCAGCGGGCTTCATTCACACTGCTAACCGGCTTCAAGCTGTGTTCTCCTCATAATTACTTCGTAGAATTGCAGCCTTGCTGATTAAAGCGGCTTGTTTGTGCGGGCAGACAGAGCTTTGATGCACATAAATTGCACCAGTGAACATCACCGACCCACAACACAGGGTGCAAACCAGACTCAGCACCTGAGCATAACCGCAGTGGGTAAATACTGTGCTTTACTCAAATTGCACAGACACCTGGTAGAACAGTGGTTAGGCCCCTATCTTTACTCTCCAATGGGGGTTATTGAAGCTCATGTGTAAAGTGAAAGATGTGCTATATAAAGAAACAGTTTTAATAACAATAATAATCCTCGCATTTGATATAGTGCCTTATCACATCTTCGAGACGTCTCAAAGCGCTTCACGGAATACACTGTAAAGTGAATTGACTGTATATTTTGTGGCCGAAACGCGCACAGCAGCGTCCCCAGAAACAGTCGTGGATTGAGTGACCAAATTATTATTATTTTTTTTTCTTGAGGGATTATTGTCAGGCGTGTAGAGTAAGGAAACTTGCCCAAGGTTTCGCTCTGCCGGGAATCGAACCCAGGTCTCTTGCTTGCCAGGCGAGTGCTCTAACCACGGAGCTACAGGACTCCACGCATTCCATGGAATGGATGGAACTGGTCAAAGAGGAAGCTGAAAGCGATCTAAGGTATTCGTTAGTCAGCAATAAACAAGGCAAACGGGGTGGTGGGTGACATTGCCAAATCAGTTGAGTTCACATCTACAGAAATACTCTGTACGCTTGTAGATTGATTGCTCTAAAGCGTCACCTCACACATTAGGAAGAAAACAACTACAAGGTCATGAAAAGGAGTGACAAAAGAACTTAAAACAAGCAAGCCAGTTTTCAAAGTCTTAATCCAAGTAAGAGAGGCACAGTCGCCCCCTTCTTTGTGGCGTAGGATTATACTCGAGAAGTTAGAAATGTAATTTTGTTATATCAGCGCCCTGGAATATTCTTAAAGAATCTCATGTATTTTGCCCAGTGGAGAGTGTTGATGCTATCAGAGCCAGACACAAACACAAAGGCATGTGAGCTTGAAGCTCCAGCCTTCACGTGTGAGGTCCTCAGAAATTCCGACCTTAATGACCCTTTCTGCTATTGTTTTGGGCGACACAACCTTAAGTAAGGAGATGACTTGCATGTATGTCACTGACTGGGTTATAGGAAGAGCAGCAAATTGTAAATCAACCAATAAACCTCAAATCCCACTGTCATGTACACAACATTGATTGGGATTTGTTTCGGTAGAACTTATTGATGATGTGCAGTCTTTCCTGTACTTTTAATCATGAAATTTGGTGTAGTCGCTGCGGCTGATCATTGCCTGTATGGAAATCAGTTCCCCACCAGCCTCCCTCAGCGTGATCATCAGTGCAATGAAAGGTGAAAGTGACCGCATTAGGAACAGGCGCAGGCCATTCAGCCCCTTGAGCTTGTTCCGCCATTCCATCAGATCATAGCTGATCTGTACCTCAACTCCAAACTCCAGTTACACCCCTTTGCTCGATATCCCTTCATGCCCTGACCTAACAAGTATCTATCCACCTCGGTCTTGAAAATTTCAAGTGATTAGCAGGTGGCTGCTTGATCCAGTTTAAATAAGTCACATAGTTTTGAAACAAAAAAAATACTGTGTTGAGTGAGGATCTCTCATGTGTTGACGAACTTCACTCCCAACACGCACCCCATTCTAATAAAGTGACTGCCATCGTGTGGCAAGTACTTGTATTGTGCATGCTAAAGCTAACCTGCTATCCAGTATCGGGTCGCTAATTAAAACTTTAATACAATAACAATAATAATCCTTGCATTTGATATAGCGCTTTTCACGTCTTCTCGACGTCTCAAAGCGCTTCACAGAATACGCTGTAAAGTGAATTGACTGTATATTTGTGGGCGAAACGCGGCAGCCAATTGCGCACAGCAGCGTCCCCACAAACAGCCGTGGATTGAAAATGACCAATTTGTTATTGTTTGTTTTTTTGTAGGGATTATTATCAGGCGTGTGGAGTAAGGAAACTTGCCCAAGGTTTTGCCCTGCCTGGAATTGAACCCAGGTGTTTCGCTTGCAAAGCGAGTGCTCTAACCACTGAGCTACAGGACTCCACAACAACTACAACTTGCATTTATTCAATGCCCTTCATGCAGGGTAGCGTCTCAGGGCGCTTAACAGTTGCAGAGCTTTGCACTGAGCCGGGATGGTGACCGTAGGTACAACAACAACTTGCATTTATACATCGCCCCTTATGTGGGGTAGCGCCCCAGAGCGCTTACGGTCTTCAGGTGTGATCTAAAGACAGCGAAGAACCAAAGGGAAAGTGGGAGGGTTGCTATTCAACATCCAAGGCAACTTGTGAAACAAAGAGATATAATAAGAGATTGAGATAGAAGGACAAAAGACTTCTTCGTCTGACGCCTCTCCAATAGGAAATCACAAACGACTTTTAGAGAACGTCATCATCACTTTTCCTTTTGTCAAATTATCTGCCGATTGATTACCTGCTCCGGAAACATAAACTCATGTTTTCACTGTTACTGTGGAATCTCTGGTGCCAGGAAACTTCAGGTCATTCATAGACTTGAATCTTTCGTTATCTGTGCTACCGTCAACTGCGGTTTGCTCTTCAGAAGAAATGAGCTTCCGGCTGAGAGAGAGAGACAAAAACCCACTTAAGCGTTGGAAAATGGATTTATTGGATCTTTATTCGCAGATTACAATGCAGCGTAAGGAATGTTATGAGCTGCTCAACAAGGATCAAATAAAGTCAGGGTTGTATTTGAAGAAGGGTCAATTGCTCTCTTTGTATCCATTTCAGACAAAGAACAGAGAGAGAATTGGCGTTTCCTTAAAAGAAAATCAGATTCAGGCCAAGGTCTTGGAGGAGTGCTGTAAAGCTACAGGAACAGTGAACAACATGTTGTGAGTGAGTGAGTGAAACAAGTTCAATCTGTTATCAGCCACAGGGTAACTAACAACTGCAAAAGCTGCCAGATCTTCCCCGAGTGTAACTGAAGTCTCTCCAACACTAAACGACAATTCTGCCTTGTTCGCAACGATGTTAAACTGCGTGGCGTCCTTCCAGCAATACCGTAAAGAACTCGGGCAGACAATGAAGTACAATTCAACCTATTGCGTTCAATGATAATCGCAGATTGCTGAGTGGATTGGTTTCACTGTATTTTCTAGTTGACTGATTTGAGATGGTTGCAGTTATTTGTTCAATTGTCGTACAGTTGCAATCTTACATCATCAAACCACAGTCTGATTGTGCTGACATTTTTCCGTGAACAACTCTAGCAATGAGAATCATACCATCAAAAAGCCATCCATCGGCAGTCGGGCATTCAGCCTCTCTGCCCCCACCCTTTGGAACTCCATGCCAGTCCCTACACCTCGCTCCCTCCCTCACCTCCTTCAAGGCACGTCTCAAGTCCCTCCTCTTCGACAGCGCCTCCAGCCACCCTCCTACCCCTACCCTCCCTGCCCTCCACCCCACCGACCCAAAATCCCAGCTCGGGTCCAAATCCCTGACTGTCCAGCACTTTGGGGGCTCCTCCGGACCTGAAAGTGCAAGTTGTCGTTGTTGTCTAATGTGATTTCTTCGGCGTATTTTGTGTATTCTTCTTAGACCTTAAATTTTGCGATCCTGTACTCCTGGCCGGCAGCCAATACGAATGAAAGTTGGCGCAGCAAAGATGAACTTTTATGCAGTTTTATTTATACAAGGAAGAGACATTCAAGATGCGCCTGATAACACGAACAAAGGCAGCTCTCAAAGCCGTGCTATGGCTTCAGGCCAGGTGGGGTACAATTCTTACATTTGTTTTTGTTAGGAGTGGGGGAGATACGTTGGGATGATGTGAATAAATCTTTCCCAGGGAAAGGCAGAGATATACTGATGTTGGTTGTAGACAGGGTATCTGATTTACGATGTTAACCCCCACAAAAAAATAAAAACCCCGATATAAGAAAAATGAAACAGTGCTTTACAAACACTCGCTTTGTTCTAGCTGACTACGACCCTGTCAACGCTTACAGAGTAACAATACGTGCACTCAATACAATAGACATTATTTTCGATTTTCTTGGGTAGCAGGAACTGAAAGCGAGTAATTGCCAAACAGTATTTTTAGTAATGGATGGGGTTAATGAGGTGGCAGACTTTATTGTTGGCTTGTTTTCAGGGCTCCAAGGAGCTGATGTGGGCTGATGAATAGAACGTTTGGAAGAATTGCTACTCACAAAAACACAATCTGTATTCCTTCTCAAAACATTGATGATTCCAGGTAGTTCCTGTTGTGTCTAGCATTGAACTCAGTCACCTTTCTCACCACCTCTTCACCGACTGTTTACCCTTTGCCGGTGACTGACAAATGAGGCTGACAAATACATATCAATACAATATATTACATACAGCAAGGAAAGATAGCAGGCAAGTGTATTCTCGAGTGGATGGGATAGAGTTCCCATGGGAGAAGTTGAAAGAGACTTAGCTAGGAGTGGTAGTTGACTCATCGCTCACCAATGTCAAAACAGTGAGGGACAGCAATGAACAAGGCAAACAGGATGCTGGCTCTACCACCAAATCAGTTGAGATCTCCATACTCCAGCTGTAGAGATTTCTGGTCAGACCTCAGCTGGACTATTTACTGCATTTCTACAACACAAGAGACAGTGCAGACAAGAGCAATGAGGGCGATTCCTGGCATCAGAGGAAATGAGCTATGAGCAGCAATTAGATAGGTAAGGTCTCGTCAGTCATGAAAGCACACAGCTCGGAGGGGAATTTATAGAGGTACACAAGATTTAAAATGGGATTGTGGAAGTAAATCCAGAACATTTAGGAAGCACTGAGACAGCATAACAAGAGGGAACAGGTTTAAAGTCGCAAAGGGCAATTTCAGAACAGGCAACGGAAATATTTCTTCACCAACAGGATAATTAATTGAAACAGGTCACTAGGAAGCATAATTGAAGCTAGAACACTGGACTCGTAAAAACAACACAGCTTAATTCTTTAATGGGAGGGCTTGGAGGGTGGATGTTCTGGAGGACGAGATGAAATGAGTCAAAGGGCTTCTTCATTCTGATCTAATAAAAACTGTTACACTTAACTTTTGGTAGAAATACAACTTTAATACAGGCATGGAACAAAGGTGTTTTTGAAATCTATCAACTATGCTCTGTACACCACTGAACCACTATATACATTTGCCACAGAATACATATTAAGGAGATCAGCAAACCAATCTTTGTGTACAGCAGATTACTGTGAGCACTTTTAAAATCATCAGAACATTCCCTGGTGATGTACATTTTCGCAAAACACCTTTCATTTCAAATCAAATCCTTACATTTGATATATATAGTTCCTTTCACTTTGGGAGGAAATCTCAAAGTGCTTCACAAGATATACTGTAAAGTGTACAGAACAGCCTGTATTTTGTAAGTGAACGTAGCAGCCAATACGCACATAGGAATGTCTCACAAACGGCCTTTCATCCCGGTAGCACAACTTTTCCACAAATGTTGAAGGTTTGAGGTCTGCCAGTTATCGCCCAAAATTAAAACATCACTTACGTTTTATTAAAGTACTCTTTTATTTACTTAGTTTCATCCATAAAGGAGAACTTATGAAACAAACTCTAGTCTTTGTTTGCTCTTGCTCTTTCTCTCACACACACACGGATACCTTTTACGTGTAACTGGGATGAGTGGCAGATTATCACGATCATACTGCATTTACTGATGCTCAAATGAAGGCAGCTGCTGCTATCAGTACCCGAACACAGATCAGGTTCTTGGACACGGAGTGATATGTTTTCTTTTCATCGCTGTAATCAGCAAGTTACACCTGGAAAAGGCAGAGATGAATTGGGCCGTGTCGATTTCCAGAACACTTCCGATAAACGCACTGAATAGTCGAACGACTATTTGGATCAAATAAAAGGTCAAGCCGCCAATAACCTATCATATCCTTAGTTTAATATTATTAATAATAAAACTGAAATCAAACACATGAGTGGTGCTGTTCAAATGCTTTCTTCCCCAGTGTGATATTAGACCATTATATTAAAGGGATTTAATAGAGCTCGACTGGCTCATTACAATGACTGTACCTTGGAGAGATTTTTAGAAATCTCCATTTAATTTTTGAAAAATACTCTCCAGACGATACTTGAAAACCAAACGCTGACTGATTAAATGAAATAGAATTGAATTTCATTCGATTGAATTGCACCAGCGCCTTGGGAGACGTCCTCCCGACATGAGAGGCGCTGCACACATGTATTTTGTTGCTGTTGTGGTTGAATCCTTCAGAACGGGAGACAACATTTTTTTGGAACCAAAAATCAGGATTCAGAGCGAGCGCTTTTCACATTACCTTCACGTATTACGTTGCTTTCGTATTCTGTGACTGGGGCCACGCGTCATTTATTTTGTTACGCTGCTGTTCTGAGAGCATCCAGGTGCTTGCAGTGCAGGTCATACAGTTTCTCTGCAAAATCGTCCGCATCTTTGTGGGCCTCGCAACTCCTGCGCCAAGTATCGGGTGCCTGATCGAACCCATAGTGAGCGCCAGCGATCGCTCCGGCCATGGTGGCGATCGTGTCAGTGTCCCCGCCCAGTGAAATGCTGTAGATTATCGTCCTCTGCAGGCCGTTGTAATTGGCCGGTATGTCTGGATCGGGTTCCATGCACCGCAGAAAGGAATAAATAGCAGTGGGCACAGATTCGAAAGCTGCGATCCCATTCCCTGATGGGTTTTTAGAAGAAAATTGCCGGTCAAGCAAACGCAAAGACAAGTGGGAAAAAAAAACAAAGAGCAACAGATTAAATATGGAGCAGGGCAGGACCACAGCAACGCGGCCATGGGTCATCGGGTTCTCTTGTTATTTCACCCACAATTTTACCATATTTGTTACACTGTTAATTAATTACTAAACAGTGTCTTGGGGAACACAAAGCGTCTCTCTTACCTAATTCGTTCACCACCTCCTCCTTTGAAACGTCGGTTCGGCCTAAAAATAGCTTCACTTTCTTTAGTCTGTTGCTGAAGGGAAACTCCTCATTCAGACTGGAAAGCAAATAAGACAGAAACACGCTGAGCAAACGTTAAGGTAAAATTTAGGAGTAAAATCCCTCTGTACCCTTAATAATCATCCTTGCATTTGATACAGACAGTGCCTTTCACATCAGGAAGACATGCATCTCAAACTGGTTCAGAGGATTTACTGTCAAGTGTAGAAACCATATATGGAGTAGGCAGATGCAGCAGCCAATTTGCAAATGGAACATCCCACAAACAGCCATGAAGTGAACAACCAATTTTATTTGAGGGAAATTGTTCTTGGGCTCTTCTAAAATCTGTACACAACAATCTGGTGTCGGTCGGTGGTCTTTCCTGCCTCCAATTTAGAAAGCTGTGGGATCAAGCCCCAAGTTGTGACCTTTTTGTTATGAGGTCACATAGTCTGGACTCATTCAATGCTGGGAGTGCCAGCAATCAGGTGAAACGTTAAACTGAGATCCCATCTGCTTACTCAGCACTTTGTGTGGCCTCGTGATTGACACTACACACCTGGTTAAGGTCTAGCTGCTTTGCAAGATTATTTCTTCCACTTAGTTTTCTCTTCATTTTCCCTCTCCCCCAGCCACCCCCCACCCTGGTCCATTTGAATTTTCTACGGCTAATGATCGTCAAGAAATTGTAACGTCCTCCTGACATGAAAGACGCTACATCAAATGCAAGGATTTTTTTTTATTAGTAGTAGTATCATTATCTGCCTCTTGTCGTTGACGAGAGCTATTTGACAACAAACAGCAATTCCAGTAGTTTATTCCAAACTACTTCATGTTGTCCAAGTTTTAAAATATATCTTCGTTAAGAAGTTAAGGATAACGTGAAAATCTAATCACAAAAACATTTTGGCAGACATTTCATCCAAGGCTCTTTAAGAACCTCAACCCTGGGGAACTCTGAAGACAGTACATCATATTCCAAACATTGCTGCGTTCTTTCCAAGGCTGTGAATTCCATTCCAGACACAGGGAAATTTCCGTGTGAACGTGGCCTGCAAATGTGGATCACTCAGTCCGGTTTAGATACTCTTAAGCATGGCGCTAACAATTCATCTCAGCCTTTTCAATCATCAGTTCCTGAAGCAACACATCTATACAGAAAAAAGCCGTCACAAGCTCCCACAAGGACAAATATCATCTTTGTTCACATTCTCTGAAGAAATGAAGTTGCCCACAAGAGGCCACCCTAGACCCATACTTACTCTTTTGCGTCCAGCACAGATTTTTCATCATTCTCGACCAACTGCATTTCCCCAATGAGGTGGTCAACGTACTGGTCCTTCTTCAACTCTTCCCGAAGAGCGTAGTGTACGGCAAGCGCTTGCAGGATCGCCCCGTTGTACCCCAGGGAGGAGGCGTGTGTTATTTCTGCATTTCTCCTGGCAAACTGCATCAGACCACAGCATTCAAGTCAAAGACAGATCATTAGACTTGAGCATTTAAACCATTAGAGCACTAATTACACTGAGAATATTAATTCTAACAAAGCATTGACCTGGTCGCCAGTGAATGGATTTGCCTGGTATTGCTGGAGCACGTGGGGCGGGAGCAGGAGAGGGTGGGGAGCAGAGTCAGAGAGGTTGGTAGGTCTTGAACGTAAGGTTGAGCAAAAGCACAAACAAAGCTGAACTGGGGAAGGAGTTACTTGGAACAGTATTGGAATGTGTAAGCTCCATTGTGCTCACCTTTTTAACGTCTTTCGCTTCTGGATAAGCCAGCGCGATTGGGGCGATCCTCATAGCACCTCCATTTCCATAAGAACCTTTCCCCTTAAACTGTTCCCTTGCGGGCTTCAGCACATCCTTACAGTTTGGGCTGAGGAGTTTCTTGAAGACACGCACTACGCCGCTTCCATACCCACGGTTTGGCTCTTTTTTGTATTCCTCAGCAAACCTAAGGAGTGAGAGAGATTGAGAAAGGAAAACCCCATCGCTTCTGGTGCCTCCTTCAAAGAGTAATTGCCAGCAACATTTGTGACTTTAAAAAAGTACCCTAACAGCTGTGTCAGGCAGAAAAGAAACAGAAATGCCGTGAGGGCCAAAGAAAAATGGAATTCTGTCAAATTCTTGTATCTCACAAGGGAAGGGATGTCAACGTAACGGAACTGAGCAACTTCCCACTGCGTCAAGTGAGCTTTAAACTTGCACAGAATATAAACTCTTGAAGCGCTTTGAGACATGATAAGGCGCTATATCAAATGCAAGGATTATTATAATGGGTCTTGGGCAGATGTACAACTTAGGCGATTATACCGGGACTCAAGTTTCCTTTATGTAAAGATGACCTTGGATAATTTCACAAAAGCTTGATTTTTTTAAAACGCACTCAGTAAAGAACAAATACATTACAATTCAGATTTTAAAGAAATGTAATTTATCAAAACTCTTACAGCATAAACAGATCACACAGGCACAGGTGAAGCAACTTATATTACACTTGTCAGGCCAGCTTGCATAAGTAAAGAGAATTGGTTGCTCCCACTTGGGCAACATAAATCACATCAAACTGTCTCCAATACAATATGCTTTACGTGTGGTACTTAATCATTGCTTAAATAAGGACAATAGAACCTATCCGGGAACTACATAAAAAGTAGGTCAGAGCAAGGGGCCAATATTTTACTCTGAAATTAAATCAAAAGCAATGTGTAGGTGCACTGCATTGACACGTCAACAACAATTTACATTGACAGAGCGTCCCTCATTTGATTTCACGCAGGGTAGCTTGATGTCAATTTGGACACTGAGCTCAACATCCCCTACGCTTCAACACGCATCCTTCTAACTCACAGGCGAGAGTGGCACCAACTGAGTGAGCCAGGCTGATATGATTTAGGGGCTTCAAGACAAGATCGTCAGAGATGGGGGCCAGTGGACTATGCATATCTTTACTTACCTCATGGCCATATCCACTTCATCGAAGTCTTGTTTTGCTATCAGCGACTGCGCCACACACCTGGTCATCGCCGTATCGTCCGAGTACACTAAAGAACCTGGAATAATAATTTCATTGTCGAATGAAGGGAGTCAAAAGATACGAGGAGAACAAATGCGCGTAAAACCAGCCCCACAAAAGTACGGTCAATTATCCCGATCAATTGGTTGCTGTTAAGAGCGCGTTCCATTCCAACAACCGGGAATTTCCAGGTGTCTGACACGACAAGTTAGACAGTGAACCACTCTTCCCTTTACCCATCACGAGGAGTTTCCGCCTATGTCAGACATCTGTCTGACCAAAAAAAAAGGACTTGGAATCACATAATAATCCCTTGCATTTGATATTTCGCCCACAAAATACACAATCAATTCACTTTACAGTGTATCCTGTGCAGTGCTTTGAGACGTCTCGAAGATGTGATGATGAGGCGCTGTATCAAATGTCAGGATTATTATTATTATTATTATTATTATTATCATCCCAATCCCCGGCTCAGGTCCCCCAAAAAATTCCCGGTCTGTCCAGCGCCTTCTGACGACGATACAAATGTAATTTGTGGTTGACATGGCGCCGCGACGTCTCAAAGAGCTTCACAGGATACACTGTAAAGTGTGGTGACTGTGTGTTTTTATGGGTGAAATATCAAATGCGAGAAATTATTATTATTAAGTGATTCCAAGTCCCAATGTAGGGCTCCCACCAAACTACTGCACAGACTATTACTGTCATTAGCAGTAAAGCTAATTACAAGGAGATTTATTTGCAGTGATTTTGACTCCCCACTGACCCCCTCCACCCCTCCCCCGCCTGACCCCCCTCCCCCGCCTGACCCCCCTCCCCCACTGACCCCCTCCCCCACTGATCCCCTCCACCCCCACTGACTCCCCCTCCCCCACTGACCCCCCTCCCCCACTGACCCCCCCTTCCCCCACTGACCCCCTCCCCCACCTGACCCCCCCCCCCGGGCCTGTACCTGTCCCCGCCTCCTGCCGCTGCTCCTCCTCCTCCTCCTCCAGGGCCCTGACGGCCTCCAGCACCTCCCGGCTGCTCACCGCCTCCTTCCCCTCGAAGTCGCCGCCGATGCAGTCGCCCAGCAGCGCCCCGGCCATGGCCCCGCGGAAGCGGCTGAGCCCGGGCTGCACCACAGACCTGCCCGCCAACGCCGCCATCTTTGTTAGAGGGTGGGAGGGGGGGCGGGAGGGGGAAGTGATTGACAGAGCCGACAACCAATCATAACGCGTTCCAGCAGAGTGACAGGCCTCGCTAACCAATCACAAGCCACCTTGCCTGGAGTGACGTATGAAAAGGGGTGGGAGAGGGCGGGGAGGGGCGGGGTGAGTGTCAAGTGGTGATTGACAGCGCCGACACCCAGTCACAACACGCCCTGCTGGCTCGCTGACCAATCACAAACCGGCGCACCTGGCGTGACGTCAGGAAAGGGGCCGGTGGGGGGGGCGGGGAGAGTGATTGACAGCGCCGACATCCAATCGCAACGCGGCCCCGGGCTGAGTGACAGGCGGGCGAAGCAACCAATCACGGCACGGGAGGTGGGCGGGTCTGTAGGCAGCATTTGTCATTCAATCCAATGCTCCACTGGAGGAGATCAACAACAACAACAGTAACAATGCTGATAATTATGGTAATAATAATAACAATAACAATGATAATAATAACAATAATAATAACAATAATAATAAAAATAATAATAACAATAATGATAATCATAAAAATAACAACAACAACAACGATAATGATGATAATAATAACAATAATAATGATAATAATAATAAAAATAACAACAATACAACAACAACAACAAGATTCCATTTATAGAGCGCCTTTCACGTCAGGAGGACGTCCCAAGGCGCTGCACAGTTGGGTCATGACCCGAGCAGGGGGGAAATGGTCAGGGTGAGGGGAGGGAAGGGAGAGAGCGAGGAGGGGGGAAATGGTCAGGGTGAGGGGAGGGAAGGGAGGGAGCGAGGAGGAGGAAGAGAGTCGAGAGGGGAGCTGAAGGCTGAAGGTCAAAGAGAAAGGTTTTGAGACCGGCCTTGAAGGAGGAAAGGGAAGAGGCGGCGAAGGCACTGGGGGATGGAGTTCCAGAGCCTCGGGGCTGAGAGGCTGAAGGCCCGGCCACCGATGGTCGGGCGGTTGGGGCGGGGGATGTGGAGCAGACCGGAGCCAGAGGAACGGAGGGTACGGGCAGGTAGGTAGGGGGATAGTAGGTTGGAGAGGTAGGAGGGAGCGAGGCCGTGAATGGCCTTGTAGGTGAGGATGAGGATCTTGAAATCAATCCTCTGGGGGATGGGGAGCCAGTGGAGGGGAGCGAGGGCGAGGGTGAGGGCGAGGGTGGGAGTGATGTGGTCGCGGTGTCTGGTGCGGGACAGTACACGAGCTGCAGAGTTCTGAATGACCTGCAGTGTGGAGGGAGGGCCGGGAAGGCCGGCGAGGAGAGAGTTCCCATAGTCCAGCCTTGAGGTGACAAAGGCGTGAACCAGAGTTTCAGCCGCGTGAGGGGTGAGGTAGTGCCGTAATCTGGCGATATTCCGGAGGTGATGGAAGGCGGTGCCAGTTGTGGTGCGGATGTGAGGGAGAAAGGACAGCTCAGGGTCGAACAAAACGCCGAGGTTCCTGACTGGCTTTGAGAGGTGGAGAGTGCAGCCTTGGATGCTGATGGTGTCAGCGCCTGAGGTGCGGAGGCGCTGACGTGAGCCAATCAGGAGGGCCTCGGTTTTTTGCACGTTGAGCTGAAGAAAGTTGTCTCTCGTCCAGGACTCGATGTCGGACAGGCAGCTGTCAGGACATCGGTGGTCGTGGAGTTGAGAGTAGAGGAGGAAAGGTAGAGTTGGGTGTCATCCACATACATGTGGAAGTTAACCCCATGTTTGCGGATGATGTCACCAAGGGGGAGCATATAGAGGGTGAAGAGGAGGGGACCGAGGACAGAGCCCTGAGGGACACCACATGAGACAGTACGGGGGGTGGAGGAGAAGCCATTCGTTGAGACGAAGTGAAGACGGTGAGAAAGGTACGACCTAAACCATTCAAGGACAGTGCCTTGAAAGTTGAGGTGGGAGGACAAGCGGTGGAGTAGGATAGTGTGGTCGACCGTATCGAATGCTGCCGATAGGTCGAGGAGGACGAGGAGACAGAGGGAGCCCTGGTCACAGATGGTCAGGATGTCATTGGTGACCTTGACCAGGGCAGTTTCTGTGCTATGAGCAGCACGGAAACCTGACTGAAGGGGTTCAAAAAGAGAATGGGTGGAGAGGAAAGAGCGCACAATAAGAATAATGATGATAATAATAACAATAATAACAATCCTTGCATTTGATATAGAGCTTTTCACGTCTTCCAGACGTCTCAAAGCGCTTCACAGATAATGATAATAATAACAATAACAACAATAGTGATAATGATAATAACAACAACAACAATAATAATAATAGTCCTTGCATTTGATATAGAGGCTTATCACATCTTTGAGACGTCTCAAAGCGCTTCACAGGAATATACTGTAAAGTGTAGTGACTGTGTATTTTGAATTGACTGTATATTTTACTGTATGTACAGTCAAAGTCAATTAATACAATTAATATTAATATTATTAATACAGTCCTCCAGTTCACAGTTAATCCTGTGAATGCTTTGAGACCTACTAACAAGGCTATACCAAATGCAAGGATTATTATTGTTAATATTATTATTATTATTAAGCGCCGACTTTGAACTAGGAATATAAGACCAATGAACCAAGCCTCCCATCCTGACAGCTAAGCCCTTGCAGCCTAGATATCACACTAGTGACTGTTGCAGTATATCCTTCAAGGTTAGCATATCCTTCCAATTACTGGGTGCCCAAAACTGAACCCGGAATTGCAAACAACTGGTCTCACAACTGCGTTGTGAGTGGATCTTTACTTTTTGCCTCGTTTCTGCTAAGCTTAGTGACTCATCCTTTGGTTAAAAAAATATATATATAGCCCAGTGTGTGTTTTAATTAGGTTGATGGATTTCTGAGGAACGGCTGGTAAAATATTTGCTGAGTCTTAAACTGACATCCAGCATCAATGATTAACTCTATTGTTTCATTCATAACATAAATTGTACCTGTATTCTGACACCAGGCAGGCAATTTACAGTGCGACTGAGAATATTATTACTGAGGATATTGGAGAAAAGGCAGTAAATCTAGCCAAGGTCTGTCCATCCCACATTCCTCCTCTATTTCTGATTTGATTTATTTCTGCACACAAGCTTTTTTTCCACAATAGTCAGCTTTAGTCCAGCCCATTTGTTCCAGTGGTGCCTTCCTTGGAAAGGAAGACCCTTGTAAAAGGATAGGATGGATGAGTAGCTATTATAAAGTCAGTGTGTCTAAAAATAGGAATGAATCCATAACCTTTAGGATAAACCTTGTTATATCAACTTATACAGCCAACAAAGACACTCTCACTCAATGTATAGATTACACTTGTGTATTCTATAGTCAACCTGGTCAAACACCAATGTCACGGTCAATAGATAATAATCCTTGTATTTGATATGGAATCTTATCACATCATCCACAAATCTCACTCAATGTATAGATTGCACTTGTGTACTATAGTCAAACTGTCAAACACCAAAGTCACGATCAATAGATAATAATCCTTTAATAATATTTGCTGAGTCTTAAACTGACATTCCAGCATCAATGATTAACTCTATTGTTTCATTCAAAACAAAAATCGTACCTGTGTTCTGACACCTGGCAGGAAATTTACAGTGCGATCGAGAATATTATTACTGAGGACAGAATACCAGAATACAGGTATGAATCGTGGAAAACTCATAAAACTTGTTTCAAACGCTTGAAATTCTGTTTCACTGGAAGGTTTCCTGTGTGATAGAAACACAGAAACTTAGAAACAGGAGGAGGCCATTCAGCCCTTCGAGCCTGTTCTGCCAATCTATAAGATCATGGCTGATCTGTACCTCAAGTCCAATTCCCCGCCCTCGCCCAGTATCCCTTAATACCTTGAATGATTGACAGTTAAATAGTCTACAGTTAAATTAATTCTCGAGTACTCAGGCAACTGCCATCTGCTAAGTGATTATTCACGTGTGTATATATAACCCGTTTTATTTTCACTTGTGTGATTTGACCATCCACTGTGCATCATAAATATCCCTCAGCCACATAGTAATAACTTTTTTTTCTACCGTTTGTGATTTATTTCATAAAGGGAAAGTAAAAACAGAGGTGTAATGAATCATGTCCCTTGTGAGAGTACGATTTATGAAACCTCCATCACACAGGATTTTACCCCTAACATAGACGGCATTTATACAGGCAGTTATTGTTGTAACTTTTAACCTTGGAAATAGTAAATAATTTATCCAGTGAAGGCATCCAGATTGAGGGATTCAACAGAACAAATTTTTTTTTCTGGTCCTAGACATGCCCAAAAACCATCGGCATTCTTTAAGAGTATACAGAAACTCTGGACCTCTGTCCCTCTATCCCTCGTCCCCTCATTCCCCATCTTCAGGTCGTAGCTGAAGAACTTCCTCTTCGACCCGAGCTGAACCCATCACTTGCAGCACAAGGTGGATTCACGCAACCAACCTGACCTGACCTGCCAGGGAGAGAGAGCTTGTGTTCGGAGCAAGTCTTCGTATAAAAGGAGAGAGAGAAACATAACAGAGACGTTTCAAAGCGCAAGCTCTGCTGGATTTAAGAAAAAACAACACTTTATTGATGAAGTTGTGGCTCAGCAAGATGTGGGAGACAAGCACCAATCTGTCAGTGCCAACCCCGGGTTAATCAGCAATAAATCAGGCTAACGGCTGCATTTGCATATAGGCAGTCAGCAGCAGTTATTCTTGCCACTTGCAGCAGAGGAGTGAGTGTGTTAGGTGCAGATACCCAGCTCGATCTCCCATCATTACATTAGGTGACGTTCAATATCGCCACGTGTCTGATATCTCATTATTCTTTTCCACTCACTCCAGTGTCTCCACTACAAGCCACTTGCTTTACACTGAAGGTATAATAGTAATAATAATAATAATAATAATCATGATAATAATAATAATCCTTGCATTTGAAAAAGCGCCTCATCACGTCTTCGAGACGTCTCAAAGCACTTCACAGACGACACCGTAAAGTGAATTGATTGTGTATTTTGTGGGCAAAGATGATCAAACAGCAGTAACTGGTATTTCGAAGTTCTACACCTAAAGTCACATCTCAACAACAACTCGTGTTTATAAAGTGCCAGGTAGGTAGCATCCCGGAATGCTTTACAGTGGCGGAGTCTGACCCCAAGCCAGGGGGAGAGGGGGCGTTGGGGGTGTTGGGAGGGGAGCACGATCAAAAATGAAGGTCTTTAGGCAGGATTTGGGGAGGGAGGGGGCAAGGCGGAGGGATTGAGGGAGAGAGTTCCAGAGTTTCAGGGCGTAGTGGCTGAAGGCACGGCCACCGATGATGGAGAGGAGGAGACGAGAGACAAAACAGGAGGTCAGAGCTGGCAGAGCGGAGGCAGCGGGTGGTGGAGTGTGGGGGGGTTAAGCAGGTCGGAGAGATAGGCCTGATCTTCTGGTCTCTCATTGTATTTGGCAATGATGTGCATATTTTCATTTGTTATTACTGAGTGAAATTGCAATGTTTATTTTGCTGCTCCTATACTGAAATGAAGTATTCATTTCCCCTGGTGTGGAACAGGCAAAACACTGTGAACACCCGTCACTGTCAATGTGAAAGGAGCTTTATCAAAAGCAAGGATTGTTATTAATAATAAGAGTGAAGTTTTTATGAACGCAAAACTCTTTCACAAAGGTATTTTGACGCATCAATCCCCAATTTATGTGGTTTGCAGATTAAAATAGCGAATTTGCTAATCCTTGTCCGCAGCCCATTTAATCACCAATCAGGCCATTTTATCAACCCAGTTCCTTGATGGCTGGTGATTAAAGAGCCTGTAATATAAAAAATGTACTTTATACAAAAAAATAAGGTTGTCAAAGTGTGTTGGTCTCTCGAGAGGGAATGTGGCAGCAGGTTGACTTTATTTTTCTGTGCTGAGCATTTGTGCTCATCTTGAGATTTTGAATTAACATTAGATCCGAGATCAGGAATTTTATACCAGGGGAATGAACGGTTCATTGGGATCCTGACCCAGAATCTGAACTGTGCTTGTATAAATCATGTAATAAAATGATAATAATCCTTGCATTTGATATAGCGCCTTATCACGTCTTTGAGACGTCTCAAAGCGCTTCACAGAATACACTGTAAAGCGACGTGTACTCAAGTGCATTCAAATTATGCAGCATTACTAAAGCATTAAAAATGTTCCATGAAAATCATTCATCAGAATAGAATGTATTTGCAATAAAAACAATGGTTCTAACTAAAATACGTTTTCTCTTTCAGAAGCTGTCATGCACTGCTGTGCAGAAATTGACTGCCGTGTTTTGCCCACAATATATACAGTCAATCCACTTCTATCTCCTTATGTGTGTTCTTTGGGACGTTTCAAAGACGAGATAAGGCGCTATGTCAAATGCAAGGATTATTGCTATTATTATTATTATTACCAGTTGCCAAAGTTTTCGATGGAAAATTGCATTGACGAACATCTTCACGCGATTACGGTTTTAAAGCAAAATAAATTTGCCCGATGGCTTTCATCCTTATGTTGCGCCTTGTATCATACGATCAATGCCTTAGCCCAAGTGGTGATCTCAAACACGGGGAGTGCCATCAACACCGTCAGTCACGACCTTGACATGTTGTGTAAACTGCTGGTTCTGCTTCACCCACTGCAAACTGCTGATGATTCAGCCTCTTAACGAGCAGCCAGAGGAAAGTCACTTCCACCGTATCCTCCAATGGCTCACTCTGGAGGAACCATTAATCATAGCCCGTAACAATATGATTTGTGACAACACTGATGTTGTAGTTTTTCTTTGCTCAGAGAACCCAGGATCTCCGGGGAAATGTGACATTTATAACGCAATGTTGACACTCGCAGGCAAAACAATTAGGCCCCTCATCCTGTCTGCACAGTCAGATGTACTTCACTGAACGTGGCTTCCCAAAATAGGCTTGATTCACCTCTTCGACCGCGCTTATGGTCATCTCACCCCTCCCCCTGGCTCAGCATCGGGTTCCGACATTGTTAAGCGCTCTGGGACACCGCCCGACGTGGAGAGCACTGTATAAATGCAAGTTGTTGTTGGCTGGTAGTGTTCGAGAACCAAAGACCTCACGAGATCATCACAGGATCGCTTCAAATCGAGAACCCCCTTCGTAGAATTATACAGGAGACTTGCCTAACGCTTCGCCCTGCCCAGGAATCGAACCCAGGTCCTCTCATTTGTGGGGCGAGTATTCTAACCACTGAGCTACAGGACTCCACATTGGGCAGGACTTCCTCCCAATTCATCTCACCCTCCCATCACAGCCTCGAGCTGGTTTTCTTTAAATGAGTCCAAGTTCCCGGCCTCAACCACCTTTCCTCAGTAATCTGTTCAGGAATCATCCTCTGGGTGAAAACATCTTCCCGATGTCTGTTCCTGAAATTTGCCCCAAAATCCAGATTCTTTTGTTCTCTTGTCTTGGTGCATCCAAAAGTTTTGCTGTGGCTGAACATTCTCAATCCCATTTAAAATGTTACACGTTAAAAAGTTCTCCCCTTTTTCAAGTCCCACCTGAAAACCTTCCTTTTTGACGGTGCTTACTGTCACCACCCCAACCCTCCCCACTCCCCCACCGGCACGGAGTCAGGCTCCGCTCTGAGACGCTACCCCGCACGGAGGGCGCTATATATGTGCAAGTTGTTGTTGTTGCTGTTGTGCACACTTCTATAAGGTCCCCTCTGAGACATCTGTTAAGACTGAAGAGCGTGTCTATTTGTTGTTCATTCTGCACACAAGCCCACTATTCTGCTTCATATCATTGACTCCACAGTTGTGATTCATCATCAAAGTCGCAACCGGGATAAAATAGCAAAGATAGAAACTGGTCGAAATCACTTTTATTAGATCTGTTTCTCAGGGCGATTCCCGGTTGGTAAACACGCCACAAAACCGCATTATAACAATCTCATGGTGGGTTTAGTGCTGATGAAGTCTTTCCCTGGTTAAACCCTACCTGTCAGAGCAGTGGTGGGTTGGGGTGGTGGGGGTGGGGGTGGGTGGGGGAGACGATCAGACTGATAAACACAAAGAAATGGACAAGAATTTCAAATGTGGAACCGTTACTTTGCCTCTTTTCTGGTTTGGGCAAGTCTTTAAAGTGCGCGGAAATGATTAACTTAAGCTCTTCAGAGAGCTTAAAATGCGTAACAACTCCAAAACAGAAACGTGAAACATAAACAAACAAACAAACAAAGAAATAAACAAATATGAAGCACATAACAATGCACAAAGAATAATCGACGGGATAAATTAAACAGTCAAACTCTGAATTTGCGAAACACAGGATCTCCTTGTCTGCATTCGGTACACAAAAAGGTTAAACAGCTCTCGTCACCTTCCCCTCCCCCTCCCCCACTCACCCTCCCCCCCACTTGGCTCAGTATCAGGGATTTGGATCTGGGTTGGGAGTTGAGATCAGGAGGGTGGAGGGTGGGGTCAGGAGGGTGACCGAAGGCACAGTCGAAGAGGAGGGTCTTGAGACGTGCCTTGAAGGAGGGGAGGGAGGGAGTGAGGGGAAGGGGCTGTGGGATGGAGTTCCAAAGGGTGGGGGGCAGAGAGGCTGACGGTTTGGCAGCTGATGCTGGGGTGGGTCGGGCGGGGGACGTGGGGAGGCCGGAGCCTGTTGAGCGGAGGGAGCAGGCAGGTTGAATTTGATCTAATGGTTAAGCCAGCTGCCCTGCTGTATCTCTGGC